CGCGTTTCAAATTTCAGATTAACCCGAACTCGGTGGCTCTGGAAAGCTAAGACTCGGGGCTTTCCAATGATACTTAGATCATCTTCTGGGTCCTTACAGAACGACGAAAAAATAGCCCGCAAGTTCGTTGTTCAGAACTAGAAACAAGAAATTCCAGTCTCAGAAAACATGAACGATACATTGACATCTAAAGAACACAGAGAACGGAGATTACATCGGAAACAAGATCAGAAACCTATTCTGAAAACTAGACAAAGAGAGCTTTCCACAGATAAGTGGATCGTCTCCTAAGTCCTTCTGGTTCGACGGAAATTCTTCCTCGAAATGGACTGATCGTAGACCCAAAACTGCAGAAACAACTCTTAGAAAAAGAACGATAACTCTCGGAATACTAATCCAATTGACAAAACGATTTCGCCTGAAGCTAGATATGAGAGTGGAGAACTTACCCTAGAATTTTCATTCCAATCCGATCTGAGTAAACTGTCCGTTACTCTATTCTTCTAAAACGGGCCAGAACTGTCTCAAAAACAATAATCTCTTATTCTCTCTCACAACCTACGAAATCCTCTCATTTTCCTCTCCAAAATCGGCTGCAAAAACGTCTCCACGCGTTTTTATATCATGCCCTAGGGTTCCCTTAACCCAAACCAGCCAAACCAACAATTTGAACCAAAACGGTCGGTTTAATTAAAGCCTGTGTCGATCAACACACGACCAAAATTCACTGAATTTGGTTCACGGGCGTTACAATTCTCCCCACTAACACAGATTCGACCTCGAATCACGTAACACCGTCTCACTACGGTCATACTCCTGGCCAAAACCCGGCCAGCACCACTCGAGATCACACCCGAATCGCACAACACTGTCCTACTAAGGTTAACACTCCCGGCCGAAACCTGACCAGGTTCACCCGAAAAATACCCAGAATGCAACGTTTCCTAATCCGGACTAGGTCTGCCCGATTGACTATACAATAATCAAACAAGAACATGCTCGACCAACCGTAGACCCAGGCATAGATCAATTGATCGCGCAACAATCCAATAAGAACATGCACGACCAAGACGCTACATAAGTTACCAGGGTCGTCTGAACCGAGGTTCCAAACGCAAGTAAAACCCTAGACTAGACACCACATCCACAACAACACTCCTAACCCTACCCGGTCAACACCACCTGAGATCCTTCCCAATCTCCGAAGCTCATCCAGTGTCATACTCATAATCACATCACAGACGCTATGCTCATAACTCATATACATATAAACCATCACACTCTCAGGGTCGTCACCCTTTGAGCTCGGTCTACTCCATGCTCTTCTCTTTCGGGACACACAGCCCGTCAAGCTATCGGCATGCAGGGAAAATCACTATTCCCTGGAGAGAACCTCACTGCCCCCTCAAGTATACGCAGGGAAAATCACTATCCCCTAGAGAGAAATCACTATCCCCTGGAGAGAAATCACTATCTCTCAAGTATATGCAGGGAAAATCACTATCTCCTGGAGAGAAATCACTATCCCTCAAGTATATGCAGGAAAAATCGCTATCCCCTGGAGAAAAATCACTATCTCTCAAGTATATGCAGGAAACCTCACTGTCCCCTGGAGCATCTTCTGTAACGTGTCTCATAAGTACCTGTCGACCAGAATCACTTCTCGTGGTCGTTATGACATCCCCTCACCTGGAATATCATCACATCAATGACCAATCACTAGGTCATCCGGAACAACCCAGTCACTAGGGTGTTCCCTGCTAGAGTTCCTAGAAAGACAAGTTCTAACTCGCATAAAACCTCCTTCCAGACTCCCCCTAGGAGATAGACAGGTCCTAACTCACCTAAGACCTCTATTTTCGAGCACCATCTAGAGAACAAACAAGTCCTAACTCCCATGGAACCTCCATTCCTAGATACACCTAAAACATGGACAAGCTCTAACTCACATAGAACTTCCATTTCTAGCCCTCACATGCACACATGACCCACCAGTCAAAAAAATATAAGAACTCACATCTTAAAACACACATTTAATAAGAAATTCCTATCTTATTAAATCATCAAAATGTATAATCGTTACACAATAAACGAAAAATACATCAAGAACATAGCTACATGCTATAAG